ACGTTTGAAAGGCAGTTAAAAAATGCGTATAATTTTCGTCACGAAATTGATATCATAAATTTTGTGTTTCTAGTTCAGCTTTCGTCACTCGAAAATTTTACCTCAAAGAGGTGTTTTATTTGATTTAGCTTTACTTTGATTTTTGATGTTCGACCACCTGTAATTTTACTTGCACATACACATTTAACACTATTAAATTTCATTCGTACTCGAAAGTTCGTTTAGAGATAATTCGGTAATATACATTTTAGTCAACATTTTAATGTGAATGTTGTATTTAATAAGCACACTAACTAAATATGTTTTAAATTTGTAGCTTAAAATATGCAAACAGATTCTGACTCGAGCTCGTCTTCTACTGAAACTGAAACACATTTTTTTTAATTTTTTCAATTTTTACAAATTTTCTAGAAAGTTTGAGACTTCAACTCACATGTCTTTTGTTATAGAATTAACTATATTTTTATAAAAAAATTTAAATTAAGTAAGGAAAGAAAAAATTTTCAAAACCTGTCAATACATTTTACTACTATTTTCGTGAGCACAGCTGTGCATACATACGTAATACCTTTGATTTGTTTTAAAGTAATGAATATTTATATTGATAATACTATATGTATTTAAAAGTCTATTAGTTATTTTTTGCTAAATTAATGCGCTGTTATTTGGTTGTTATATTGTTAATAATAAAAAATAAGCTTAAAAATTGGCTGATTTTTATGGCTTTGTACTGATTTTTGTCCCAACTGTACTGATTATGTCACTATAATATCTGACCACCCTAAACATGGTTCTCTCAGGAATACCTATGACAAGGCCTATCTTGTCACAATCAAAGCTATAAACTCGTCTCAATGTCGCTGTGGCCATCAGGACACCTATGAACACCAAACTTTTCACTGTCGCTTTCTGTCCAATCATAGAGCCAATCTCGAGGTCCTTAAAAACCACGCAACTTTGAGGAAATCTTTAAGGATTGTGACAAAACCAGAATCACCGAATTATCGTTATTTTTTCAAAAAGCCAATGTAAAATTTTAATATATGTAGTTACTTTTTATGCAGCATTCGTGTACATATGTCATATGTACTTCTGTTTTTTATTTGTGTTTTTCGTATGTACGTTTAATTTATTGTTTTATGTTCATCTGGAAGTGGGTGAAATATTAGGGCTGTTCAGGATCTTGTGCAAATAGTCTTGGATTTGCATTTGGAAATTTTTTGCTTGTTACTACATCAACCGTTTGCATTTTATTGTTGTAATTTATACAAATGCACCGAATATGCGAATGCAAGAGCACAATACCCTGAACTGCCCCATTGATTGCGAAATTCCAGGACATACCTACATACATTTAAAAAATACAGAATTTGGCCCCTAAATGACTTTGAATCCAGAATTTAATTTTCCAGAATTTTTATTCAACATCATTTGGTTCTTACAGAATTTTAAAACACAGAACTTTGACCCAAAGTAATTTTAACTGCAAAGAATTTTTTCACATTTTTTCCAGAATATTGAACCGAATAATATTTGAAAAGCAAAATTTACTACCGCTCCCGGTGTTTTTGTATATTGTGAAATAAACTAAATTAAGAATGAGTAACTGTTTGGAAAATTTGGTACATTATTAATTATGTATGTTCGTGGAAAATTTATGTACTTCCATACCTTATTTTTTTTCTTAAGATAAAAGCCTATTTGAATAGAAAATATAATTTTTTAATTAAGAAAGTCTTTTTCCCTATAAAAATGCTACTTTTTCTCATAAAACCTTTCACATAAACACTTTTTAACACAATAATGCTATCTTTTTTAACAAAAATAATGAAATGACTTGTAAAATCATCTAGCATAAGTAACTTTTAAAATGAAACACGCATTAATAATGGATTACTCAACCTTAAAAACAAAAAATAATTCCTCGACCCAAAAAACAGTTATATACCATAACTCCCCAGAAGGATTTCATTATTTGATCGAATTTTAATCATTTTTTCCTGAAATCAGGGTCACCAACTTTAAAATATGCATAAAAAAATAAACCAGCTCTATAGGCTAAAACTCCTTTTGGATTTTTGTTATGGGAGGTGTAAGTTTTCATTTACTCTTGGTTTCATCAAATACGTAGGATCTTGTTGCACTGTGTAATTTACATACATAAAACGGCATGCACACACTACTTTTTCATGGGCGGCCCGGCATTTAATACGCGTACATATATGTTCTTATGTATTTATGCATTAATATATCAACTTGTTAGCTTGAAATACTCATACCTTATCATTATACTTTTTTATATGCTTATTTTTTACGCACCTGAAGTGTGCCGCAAATCCAGAATTGTGTTGGAGATTCCCTAACAATAAAATAACCAGTCTTAAACATATCACCTAGCGTCCACATGATGACCATTTGGATGCTCATACCATATGTAGATTTATTCTTGAAATTTCGTACAAACTGTGGAGCACCTAAATGCGTATGAAATAATGCATAGTGTTTTTAGGTATATTCAAGCATTTGCTTAAAATACTTACCTAGCATAGCTTCTGTGAAAACAGCACAAAAGCCAACAGACTCCATAAACCACTTAACAGATAACATTAGATATGTGATAGCTGCTCCGACTGCCCAAACAACGAGCATAAAGTCCAAATACGATTGAAAATCGCTCCAATTCCAAAAGTATTTGTAATCGAGATCTGTAAATGAAAAGAAAATACTTTTTTATATGCATTCAGTGTTTAAATAATTAAGCTAATCTTTGAAAATTAAGTAAAAACACATTAGGCTGCCTCACACTGCATACCACGAACATTTTGTTCTGCTTCTTAAGCAAATAATGTAGTACGTACAATAGAGTGGTAAAAAAAAAAATTTCCAAGATAAGGTTTGTTCTCTTGCCGAAAGAGTTGCTGGTACCAAACCTTACGTTTCTATGTATAAATTTAGAGCATGCTCATTATACTCATACTTTATTCTAGAAGTATTGTGTACATATGGGCGATTCCACCATCACGGGTGTGACATTTGTGCAGAAAAAATGTTATTTCTTGTTTAAATTTAAGTATAAAGTAAATATAAAGTACTCAATAATTCTACATTTTAATAAAGCTACACCTAATTGACTATTATATGAGTATTACAAAATGCGAAAAAAATTCCAGCTTACTTTTATATGAAAAAAATCTAAGTTATTTCTTCAGTCACGGGTGGGACCAAAAAAAGAACCTGGTTTTTGGGGCAGATATATTTTATGGAAACTCTGCGAATTTATTTTACTTTTCTGTGAGAACTTGATGTCTTATAATAAAACAAAGAACGACGAATACAAACAAAGCAAAAAATACAACAAAAATGATGGTTTTATTATAAAAAAATTTCGAAATTCCCCCGTCACAGGTGGGACAACGTTTGTCACGGGTGGGAAACGTACGAATTTTTATATGAAAAATAGCTTTTAGTGTGGTCCATATTAAAGATTAGTTATTAAAAAATATAAGAAGCCAAGTAGGGGTTCAATTCACTCACGTTTTATCTTAGGATAGTTCCTTTTATATACTTAGAAGAAAATGCCTAGCACCGTCAGCAAAAAAAAAAAATATTAAAAGTCAACGCGATTTCCTAGCGTCTTAAAAATTTCACTTTTACCTACCTAAATTTAATGGGCTGTAAAACTGCATACCTAAAAATTCTGATCAAAAAGTTATACATTTTTGGTTGTAATTGTTAAAGTTTGTTGAAAGTTAATAATTTATGTACGGAGTTTGAAATGTGGATTTATGTGGTTCTGGCTATGTAAGTGCTAGACATTTATAAAAAAAAAACTATAAACATTAAATAAACAAAAGAAAAAACCAAAACTGGTCAAAATGTCACTTAACTTAATGAGCTGACCATAAGGGTACATAGGTAATGGGCGAGTCCGCGCTTCCCCTTCCTCCCCTGCGCCAACCTCAACAAAAAAATAAAGCTTATCAGCCCTCTAAACCTACCTCTGACAACCGTCCCATCCGTGGCTGTAGTATGCCGAAACGATTCCAACACTATGAGTAGGCGCTTAATGTGCGGAGTGATTAAGTATCATTTGTAATAGCGGAAACTACAAACATATAGACACGACTTTTTTTTTAAGTTTATTGAGTGACAAAGTAGCAGTGCCACATATTTTTTATCAGCTGTTGTACGATTTTTATAGAATCGGAAAAGTGGCTTGACCTTAAATGCGTGGATAAGTATTTAGCTGTTAAAAGCTATTGGCGTCATAATTTGAACACAACCTGTTCTATAGTACAACACGTTCCAAATATTGGTATTTGTATGAGAATTTACGATAACCTGATAATTGTCACAAATTGTTAGGTTTTGGCATTCGCGTAATCGAAAAAACTTGCAAAGTTGTGGGAAATTGAGACAGCAAAGTGACAGTTTACTTTAAGGGGAAGTTGCAAATTCTTGCGGAGAAAATTTTTACTAGCATTCATTTGTCAGCACGAAAAACCTCTGATATACTTTTTTGAATATTCTCTCATTTCAGAGAAAATCGTTACTCTCTTGCAAGTTGATGCTGGATACTTTTCACTGCAGATATATTCCAACAGACTAGTTTCTAAATCATATCTTGGCCCATAGTACAAACAAGAAATGTTATTTTTGAAATGAAATTTTAAACATAATTGATAAAAATAAAAATTTGCTTGAATAAATTTTGTTTGTTTACTAAATTAAGTAAATTATTTAATTGTTTGTGTTTTTCTGATATGAATAAAATGCAAACACGATTAAACAATGAAATTAGAACAATCAAATAACGATAGTCTGATATTTTGCAATAATTACCACAAATTCCTGATAATTTGGCGTTCGATAACCCGAACAATTTTTCAAGGGGGAAATTTACAGACGAAATTGGCATTTAATTTAGAGTGGAATTCGATAATTTCTACTGGAATCTAACTCCAATTTGCTGGCATGAAAAAGAAGTTACACAAATGTTTGGAAAACGGGAAAACATTAGGCTTGATCACGTACTTCTTGGACTAAATCTAGTAAAACTATCAAAAAACCAAAATGTGTTTAAAGCGAGTACGGGATCGCTTAAAAAAAAATGTCCCAAAATCTTGGGGACAAAAATAGTGAGTTTTGATTGGATACGGGATCAAGCATATTTACACCTGCCTGGTTATCCGGTTATCCCGGTTAAAATTACAATTACCTAGTGTATTTGATTGTCTTTAAGACAGTAGAAAATAATCAAATAACCAGATGACCAGGCAGGTGTGAACACCCACATTTTTACGATTCTTTGGCAAAATACTTTAGACAAACACCAAAAATTTACTCATCAATATAAATCAATTCTCGCTCAATACTTCCTGTATAAATGATGGTAAGTTAGTTTTGACGGGTCTATTCTGCACGTTACCGAAGATTTTGTAACCGGAAAATTTTATTACCAAAAAATGTTACCAGTTTTTGTCACCACGATTCTAGATATGTTGGTAATGCAGTTAAAATATTCAGCGATTCCGCTATGAGGAATTGTGAAAATTCTGGCATTGCAAATGAGATGGTAACGAAATTTACCGGTTACAAGAGCAAGCAGAATGTGAAAAGGGGTTACAAATTTACCGCTTGCAAAATTTTTATTACCAGCGCAGAATAGGCCTGCTATGGTATCTGTTAAATGCGTCCTGCGTGGGTAAATGCCCACTCAACACGCCACATAATATACTTACGTAGACACGTAGAAGTCTGTTGATTTTTGATTTATACTTTAAAATGCATTCGAAAGAGTAGTGTGAGTGGTAGAAATAAAAGCAGAAGTAATCGTTGTTGGGAAGATATCTCTGCGGTACATGAAGTATAACTACGGTGACCAGATTTCTGTGGACAAAAATCGGGACATTTCTAAAGCATCGATTGCGAACATACAATTTGGTTTTTAGAACAAAAAGACATAGCATCTTTCAATACAGTTCTATTTAAAACAAATCTTAAGAGAAGTAAACAAGTTCAAGTTCGGACGGAGCCGAACATTGAATACCCGACGCAAGTATTCAATATAGTTTTTTCACCTCTCCGAAAACTACCCATACGTGGAAAGCAGGGCTGAGTTTACCCCTACTTCAAACATCTTCGATAGAACGTTCAGTTCGTTTGGTATGTTGCACAACGGCCAATAACTGTGCCAAGCTTGGGAGAAATAGGTGGAGCGGTTACCAAGATATACACATGTAATCATAAGTAGGCGTGGGCCGCCCATTTTCCAAAAATGTTTAATAGTATAATTTTTCGTTTAAACTTCCATTTTATGGGAGGTAGGCGTGGTTATTGTGCGATTTTACCCATTTTCAATGCCATCCATCCTACGCTGAAAACAAGTATACGTACCAAGTTTCGTTAAGATATCTCAATTTTTACAAGAGTTATCGTGTGCACAGACGGACAGACGGACGGACGGACCGCTTAATCGATTTCTTTTTTCTTTGTGATCATTTATGTATATATTTGACTATATCTATCTATCTATAAAATGAAGCAAGAATGATAGACTGCAATATAGCAAGTGTATCAGTTTGATAAAATAAAACATAACCAAATATCATAGAAAATAAAAATGTTAGATACGTTTATTTCTCCCTTATATTCTATGTTCCTTGCGATAGCAAAAATGCTGCCACGCTTGTCAGAAAAATGGTGTTTGGGCTAGAGTACAGGGAGACTCTTAAATTAAATTAAATACTAAAATAGCGATTTAATCGGAACAAATATAAAAATCGTGACACTTATACGAGCCGACTTTTAAGAAAAATTTTCAGCGGGACAATCTTCTAAAAATCAGTACTGTCCCTCCAAAATCGGTACGAATGGTCACAGTAAGTATAACTCAAGAATGTTTTATAAGCATGAGCCTTTAGTGTTGCGAAGGCAGGGGAGGTAAAAAGGAAATTCTAGGATGATTTCTTTTCCGACTCCTGAAGAAACAGGGTATTTCACTGCTCCAATAGCGGTAGATTTACACGGTTCAGGTTTTGTTGGCAGCGAGAAGAAGCTGAAGCGATTACCCTACGCTCATCGTCTGTACAGGACATGCGACTGAATCGCGATGATTCTTGACAGCCTTCCACGTTTTTTTCGGGAGTTCTTCCATGGCTCCATTTTGGCGTTATAGGTACTCAGTCTAAGCTTATAGGACTTATTAACTAACCTAACTTTTGTCGAATTTTGTAAAATTTGTGTGAGAAAAGGAAAATTTCTAAATATTTAATTAACTCGCACCTAGCCCGATTTGCGAAACAGTCATTATTTATGTATTAACAATACAAATTCGGTTTTGTTCATCACAAACATTCGATCAAAGTTTAGGTTTGAGATAGGCACAACCTACTTCATAAATCGTTAATACTACGAATTTTCGATTAATATCTACAGTTTTTTTTTTAATTACACTGTGCGACAATCCAAAAAATCTGGGGAGTTATGCTAATTTTCTGGTAGGTCTTGTCAAGTAAAGCAAGAATCGAAATATGAAATTTGCCAAACACCCCAAAAATATTGGCTTACTATTAAGAACCCGGTTTTCTGCACCTATAAGCCTGTAATTTAATTGATTATCAACCGAGTTTCAGTTCTTACTCGTTTAAAAAATAAGAAACCTAAGCCTTCTGACAAACACACATAACAAATTAGAAAACATAAGAGATCTATGTGTTGTGCACAGCAAACACAAGTTTTGTGAAATTTTTTCGTGTTTTTTCAACTACTTTATAAAGGACCATACTTGTAGTTCTTAAATATATAGTTCTTAAATATATGAAGAAGTATATATAGCAAACAGTTTTGAAAACAAGTAATTTTTAGCAAAAAAAAACCGACTTAAAAAAATATATATATATATCTATATATTTCATGATCCAATGATCGGATCTAAACCAAATTAGTATGGGACCACCTCTGAGATACTACCTTTCCGTTGCAAAAAGAAAGAAAGAAGAAAGAAAGATATGCGGTAACATAAATAAAAAAAAAAAAAAAAAAAAATATTCCGACGAACTGATAACCTCCTCCTTTTTTGGAAGTCGGTTAAAAATAAAAAATAAAAAAGTGTAACAAGATTTCTTAAGTTTTCTAAATTGTTATAATAAATTAAATTTTTATAATGTATATTATACATCACTGAAAAGGTCTAAGTTTCTACTTTCCATGACCGGTAAGAAACTGCTGGATAATCAACTAAGTTATAGGCTTATAAGTGCGCAAAAGTACTGAAAACCGGCTTTTAACGATAAGCCAAGTTTTTGTGGTTGCTTGGCAAATTTCATATTTCGATTCTTGCTACAGCCACTTCCCAGGTATTCCTATTTCATTTGTTTTTGTAGCACAGCTTTAACAGCTTTGAAGTCTTGCCCTTACCGTTCAAATAGTGCCTGGAGCGTGCACGTTTCAAAGCGCCAACATCTGTGGAAACTGAACCAGCAGTATCCGTGTCGATCGTTACTTTTGGTAGACGTAGATCATCAGCTGAAAAAAAAACATTGATATTGTAACACAAAAATTGATATTATAAGGGCTCCAATGGAATGGATTTGGCACAAAGGACTAGCCGTTACTCACCCGAAAATGTGTGCTCTCTATTTGACGCATTCATACGTTTCACTTTAACGCATAAATGTATCATAAGAAACATGGTAATGTTCATCACAACGCTTTGAACAAGAAGCGGAAGCTCATATTGCTTGGAAAACCTGAAACAAAAGAAAAGCGAAAGGCATTAGAAAACTAACTTCGTGATTTAATATGTATAATATATTTAAGCATGTACATATGTACATATGTTTAAAAATATATATAAGTAGTTCTAATATCATTGTTTTAAGATTGTATTTTTTGCCTACTTTGAGGCGATATAACACAGCCAGTACAACCACGTGTAAGACTTTTGAAAGGCACTTAATTTAAATGCTTTGCGCTTATGCCAGTAAAAACTTAAATAGCATAAGTTTGAGAACATTTGTTTTTGTACGCAGCCTTAAGTAACAAACAAACATATGTGACAGCAATAAGTAAATTGAGGCGCTGGCAAAACTTTTCAATTTATTTTTGCCATATTCTTAACATTTTCGTGGCAGTTTGCCGTTAACTTGCTCTAACACTCAGTACATACATATGTATATACAGTTGCGGTCAATAAGATAGCAAAATTCAAAATGATATTGTTTGAACTTATGTTTATTTATTTATTTTTAATAATTTTCATTTAAAGTTTCAAAGGAAAACTTAAAAAATTTCATCAAAATTTCAAATTTTTATTCGAGTTTTTAGAAAATTTTCCAGTATGCAGTTTTTCAGCTCATTCGATTTTAGTACAAAACTACCGTCGATATTTTAGAATTTTTTTGTCGAGGGCGTTACGCATTTCCTTCCATATAACGCATGAGCAATATCTAATTTTATATGGAGAGAAATGCTCAAAACCGTCGACAAAACAAATCTCAAAAATCAACGGTAACTTTTGGTCTAAGAATTCTGAAAGAAAAGTTTGAAATTTTGATGATTTTTTTTTTAATTAATTTTTGTTAACTTTGTGCAACCTTTAAAAGTTTTCTCATGTGGTTTCTGTTTTACATCGAACTATATTTTAAATGAAAGTTGTTAAAAATGAATAAATAAACATAAGTTGCAAATAACATCATTTTGAATTCTGTTATCTTATTGACCGCAGCTGTATATTCTTGATTTGCTGCTGGAGTGAAAGCAGAGAAAGAGAAAGTGTATCTGTGCTTTTATTTTAGTTAAGCAGAAAAGTCTGAATTTGTTAGTAGTCGAAAATGTGTATATACATGTATATAAATATATATATACATATGTACATGGGTATGTACTTATCTAGGTAATGGGTAACGTAGGGCAATAACTAAAGTAACACACGGGTGAAAAATTGTGCAATCAAAGGACTTACTAAAGACGCCCACCAATCTGAGATTATTTGACTATACTTCAATATTCGAAGGAAATTGGATCATTGTACAAGCAGCCAAAGAATCTACAACCACTTCTTGCTTTTAGTTTAAGAGTCAATGCAGGTTAGAGCTTTCTAATGAAATTGCCGCTTAGTCAATTGGCTAATATACAGAAGAAAGTATTATAAGTATTTTCCTTTTAACAGCATTGCACATTGCTGAAGCCATTTTATGGAATTAACGACTATTTACGCCCACTTTTGCTGACGCGGTACTTAACATTAGTACGTGTCATAAATTGACTAGAATTGCAAAACACTTACGTACATAACTAGATATATATATATATAAAGTGGCGCTCACGTAAATAGCACACAATTATTTTTTACAATATTCCCAATGTTTTGCGTGATAAATTTTTTCACGATAATTTTCTAAAAAAGTATAGTATTTTTAATTTTTCTTCCATACAAAGTATGTTCAACAATTGTGGAAAAAAATGCGTAATACAGTCAGCAAAAAAAAATTATCAAAAATCATCACGTTTTTTCAGAAACTTCAAACTTGCTCTTTATTATATGTACAAGAATTTAATGGGCTATAAAGGCTCGAACACATGAAAATTAAGATGCCATTATGCAAAATTTTTACAATATTTGCAAAGTTTGAAATATGAATTTATATGGCTTTTGTTAAATAATGAGCTATACTTTTATAAAAAGATAATAAGTATTAATAAACATGAGGAAAGATAGCCAACATTTTTTAAAATGTCGAGTCCTTATTTATTTTTCCATCACTGTATGTCCACTCATTCATTTCGTAAAAAATAACCTATTTCACATCCTAGAATTTTTATTGAAGAAATGTGTCTAAAACTTAAAAAAAAAAAAAAATAAGTAAAAAAGTATAAGTTCGGGCGAAACCGAATTTTATATACCCGGTGGAGGTATCAACAATTGTCGTTCCAACTTTCTTTAAACCACCTAAGTCTATAGAAGTCTTATTTATTGTTAAGAGATTGTTGTGAGTATTAACTTGGAGTAAATTAACGACCTCTGTTATTGAAATGTAGGAGTTTTCGTATATCCGAAAATTACCTTTATACGGGAAACCGGTGCAATATCAGGCCGATTTGAATAATTTTCAACGAATTGCTTTTTCGTACCAAGGTTATTAAATGCACCAAGTTTGGTAAAAACTTATAATAGCCTAATTTTTTGCTCACTGGTCATTGCAATAATCGATTTTCAGTCAATTAGCTTCAGTAGTTACTGATATATCGCAGTTTTCGTTTTTCTATATATTGCTGTTATATGGGAGGTGGGCGCGGCTATTGCCTGATTTCACTGATTTTCAGCAAATTTCTTAGCTGGATCCCAAGCAAGGCTCGTACCGAGTTTGGTAAGGAATGGTTAAAAGGCTACTAAGATACAGTATGTCATCATAGGTGGGCGGGGTTACGCGCCTTTTCCAAAAATTTCATAATAATATTATTTTGTACCCAAATTCTACTTCACATACCAATTTTCAACAATCAGATCAGATATTTACTAAAAGGTCATAGTTTTTGCATTTTTCGAAAATACCGTTTTATGAAAAGGGGGGCGTGGTTACAGTCCGATTTCGCCCATTTTCAATAGTAACCTACCTTGGATAAAGGGCAACCTATGTACCAGATTTCGTTGAGATATCTCAAATTTTGCTCGATTTATCGTGTACGCGGACAGACAGACATGGCTTAATCGATTTCTCTTTTCATTCTGATCATTTATGTATACATTTGTTTATATCTATCTCGATTCGTTTAGGCGGTTACAAACAACCGTTATGCGAACAAAGTTTTAATACCCTGTGCACAAACAAGTGCGCTCGCGTATAACAAATAAAAATAGAATAAAATACGATTTTTGGTATTTTCAAGGGGTCCAAAGTCAAATTACATATTTTGGCGGAAAGTATTACTTAAATCGAACAAATTTTATATTTTGTTTGAGAAGGAATCGATTTTACATTGTGCGAAGCGTGGGGCACTCTAATGTAAAATGTGTAAACTATTCGTGAAAAACCAGCGCTAGAGGGTGGTGGTAAATAATATCACGTTCACATTGCTTACCGTCTTTCTACGCAATTCTAATAGCACTGACGTTACTACATTTTCATATCCTATGAACATACACATGAAGCACTAAGAGCCAGAGTAGCCTATCGGATATTTAAAAAAAAATTTAGGTACAGCTTAAAATGCATTACTACACAGAATCGAAACGGTAATCGCACGAGGCAAGCTCTTTCAGTTTTCTTCCATTATAATAGGTAGCATCAAGTATGTAGGTGCAATGAACTTTCAGAAAAATACCGTATTTATTATTTATAGATCATTCATTCTCATATTACTAAAAAAAAAATTTGTAGATAGGCTTCTCTGGCTCGCATGGCCTCATATGTTCGTAAGTATGTACATTAGGGCGTCCAAAATAAGTAAAGTCGGCATTTTAATGCCCTTACCCCTAGGATTGTTCTATATTAGAAAAAATTAACCCCTGTTTTTTATTTTAACATCAAAAATTTTTTAGAAATGGTATAGAATCCTTGAATCACTATATTTCTCGATCGGAAAACTTTGTATCTCTTCAGAAGACTTCCAATAATAATACCCAATTGTGCATTTGACCATTTTTTCTTATTCATCTTTTTTTTAAGTCCCCCAATACCCCAATAAATTTAATGATGGACCCGTAAAATAAACAATTGGAAATTTCCTGAAGAGAAACAAAGTTTTCCGCTCCAAAAATATTGAGTTTCAAGAATTCTATACCATTTCTACGAAACACTGTTTTTCCCCATAAAAAATAGATCGAAAAATTTTGAGTGCTTTGTGCGATCTCTAAATATTTTTTGATTTCAAAACAAACAAGTAAGAAAGTCTAAGTTCGGGCGGAGCCGAAAATTAAATACCCGGCGCAAGTATTAAATATATGTTTTTTACCTTTCCGAAAGCTTCCGCTACCGGGGTGTATCATTTTTGAGTATATTAGCGTCCTTAAATTTCGAATTATTGAAGTTTCAAGCATTTCTGAAATTTACTGTTATATGAAAAGCGGCCGTAATTTTAGTTCGATTTCAATAATTTTCAACATTTTGCTTCTATGTGGCAAGCACAATAACCACACCGAGTTTGGTACAAATTGGTAGAACGGTTACCGAGATACATATATGTGATCATAAGTGGGCGGTGTCACGCCCATTTTTCAAAATTTTATCCTTAACGTATTTCTTGGTAAAGAATNATGTGGGCGTGGTTATTGTCCGATTTTAAAAAGTTTCGGCCATTTCGTATGTTATAGCAAGGTTGACAACTGTGCCAAGTTTGTAAGAAATTGGTGCAGCGGTTACCAAGATATACACATGTAACCACAAGTGGGCGTGGCTACGCCCATTTTCCAAAAATTTATAATATTATTATTTTTCGTCTAAAGTTTATTGTAAATATCAATTTTGAGTGAATAATCTTAAGTAGTTTCTAAAATATCGCAGTTTTCGTATTTCTGAAAATTACCGTTATATGGGAGGTGGGCGTGGTTATTGTCCGATTTTGCCCATTTTCAATACCATCCGTCCTACGCCAGAAAGAAGTGCACGTACCAATTTTCGTTAAGATATCTCAATTTTTACTCCAGTTATCGTGTGCACAGACGGACGGACGGACGGACGGACAGACAGTCACCGCTTAATCGATTTCTCTTTTCATTCTGATCATTTATGTATACATTTGTCTATATCTA